CTTTATAAACCCTAACCCTCAACCCTAAACCCTAAACCCCAAACCTTTATAAACCCTAAAGCCGCAGAGGCCTCAGACGAAAGCCTGGAGCGCGCAAAGCTCGGCCTGAGAGCAGTGATCGGGTCTGCGCCGGACTGCCTACGAAAGGCGGGAACGTCGTATTCTTTTTTGATATATATATATATACTGTAAGACTTATCCGATGTAAGAATTACTGCATATATATATATATATATATACAATGCTATAATCATATAATATATAACATTATAGATATAATATAATATAGTGTGGGATTACGATGGCCCAGGTCACCTCAGAAGCGAGCACAAGAGAAGGTGACAAGTCTCGGATTTTGGGATTTAGGGGCTGATAGTTTAAGGAGGGTTTAGGGTTTAGGGCGTGTCAGGGCACCGACCAGGCAGCCCAACTTTTTCACTGGTCTCGATGCTCGCAAGGCTTCCGATCAGCTCAGTTATATCTTTTGGCAGGTGGTCCTGCTCAGCCATATCGGTGCGCAGGAAGGCAAGGGCGGGTGCCGAGCTTGGTCATGCGAAGTCGCTGTTTTCAGTTTCTGTGTGGCGCAGCGAGCACATTTTGTTCGGCTGGATGAGTACAGTAGAGGGTCCAGCACCCTGAGGGGCTCCAGAAAGAGCTAACTACTATATGGGACCTTGATGAGTAGAATAGGGTTTCGGGTATATTATACTCTATTTATAATAAGGAAACCCCCAAAACCCCTATTCCAGTTGTTAAGCCCCCTATCGTAACTCGATCGCAAATTCGCGCAACCCCCATGGAGTTCGATATGAAGCCTATCCTTGGCGGTGGACCTCACTATCGAGCACCCTCCCGGAGCTCAAGACACCAGCCTCCTCTGAAACCCTAAACCCTAGAAGCCCTAGAAGTAGGATGACGAAAGAACCCTCAATTCCAATGTTTTTTGTTTTTTCTGTAGGGTTCCTGATTAAAGTTATACTACAATGTACCCAACATGATTAGAATAGAGTTTTGGGGTACATTAGAATATAATCATGATAAGTAAGTAACCCTCAGGCATAATATCACCAGGTTGTAAGGCGGTTCTCTTCAGGTGTTCGGTTCGGGTTTGGGTTTCAGGCAGATACGTTCATCGCGATTCGGCTTTAACAATCGTAAATGCCAGTTCTAGAGCTCTGCACACAGGTACGTTCTAATGTTTCAGGTGCGCAGTGGAAGATTGAAAGACAGAGAGAGAGAGAGAGAGAGAGAGAGAGAGAGCGAGAGAGCGCGAGAGAGTCAGAGAGAAGAGAAAAGCAACTGCAGGGTCGTTAACATGGACGTGAGAACTGGGGCCTCTGCTTGTTGGTTTTTGTGATCGTACTGGGGTTCTCAAGTTCCGGAATCCCGTGAAGAGTGCACACGAGACCTGTCGTTGCGGTTTAGGGCTTAGGGTGAATTTAGGCTACGGACCGCGGGTCCTGCAGCAAGTGATCGTTACATTGGTGCAGGCTTCAACAGCAGACCTGTCAGCTGAAGCATTCGAGCAGAGGAGAGGAAACAGCAGCTAACGTGACAGAGCCAAATAGTCTAAACCCTAAACCCCTAAACCCCTAAACCCCAAACCCTAAACCCTAAAACCCTAGATCATAGAACGAGGTTCAACCTTGGTGCCTTCTTCAACCAGGGTGCCGGATCATCGTGGTCGGATATTGAGGAGGGAGCTTGCGGGAATCCGGATAGGGCCGTGGATTCAGAAAAACTTGGCTGGAAGACTCAGTTCTACTATAGTAACGGTTTAGGGTTTAGGGCTGTGGTATGCTACGTTGCGGTATTCTATAGTAGACTGGGTTCTTGTTAAGGGATTTAATTCAAGTTACCATAGTAAGGAAACCATATTATTTACTATAGATCCTTATTATGGTAACTTAAATTAAATCCCTTAACAAGAAACCAGTAGAGAGTTTCATTATATGCTCTGGGAGGGCCTTCCATTCCGCGGAAAGCCTGCAACCCTGGAATCCTGGCACCATTCCAAGAGGATTTGATGTTCCCATACTTGGAGGTTCATGGGTCCCCTAATAGGGTCCTACTTAGGGTTTAGGGTTTAGGGTTTAGGGTTTGGAGGTTCATGGGTAGTTACAAGTAGGGTTATAAGTAGGGTAACTATAATTATCACCCATATTCGGGGACTTATAACCCCACCTATAACTACCCATGAACCTCCAAGTACTCCAGCCCCAAGAGCACGAGGGTTTCGGGTTTAGGGTTGTTTAGCACGATTCTTCAAGTTCACAGTTCGGGGGTTCTACAGTTTACTGGGCGTTCCCCACGGCTGCGGACGCACGCGGACGGTGGAAAACCGGTATGACAGATCCTCTTCGTACTCGTAGCAGCTTAGCAAGACTTCGCATAGAACCCCGTAGCGTTACTGCACTGATAGGAGAATGACGGGAACCCTGTGACTCCCCCGCATCATCTTCAAGATTTCTCGTGCCGCGCGGCAAAATGCCATCCTGTAGCATTTTGGGGGTTTCCGAAGATAGGGGACCCTAATATAGTACCTTAAATAGTAGGATCCTTATTATAAGGACCCTAATATAGTACCTTAAACAGTAGGGTCCTTATGATACGGACCCCAAAAAACCCTAAACCCTAAACCCTAAACCCTAATTTTCAGAAGCTCCCATTTTGCAGAGGACGAGCTGACATCCACAGCCGGAGACCCAGGAGCCGGTTCCAGCTTCTTCCCTACTTGGAGGTTCATGGGTAGTTATAAGTGGGGTTATAGGGTTCCTTTAAGAGTTTAGGGTTTAGGGTTTAGGGTTTAGGGTTTAGGGTAGGGTTCAGGGGTAGTTATAAGTGGGGTTATAAGTCCCCTACTACGGGTTATACTTATAGTTACCCTACTTATGACCCTACTTAGAACTACCCATGAACCTCCAAGTAAGTGCCTTTTAAGATTCACTGGGGTGGGAGCCTCGTGTGGCCTGGTTGAAGGTGGGAGCCACAGGATAATGTAGGGGCCTTAATAATTACGAAAGGGGCTTTGGGGCTTCCTTATTATAATTATGGTGTAAGATACCCCCCAAACCCTATTCTAATTATTAAGGCCATATTAATTGTGAATGTCTGCAGTTGTTCATGCGAACAATAGCTGTAGTGACGGTGTCGAGCCGGTCGTGGTGACTACAACTACTGCGCGGTCCTGATCCTGACATGTGGATGCCGACACTGCGCCAACTGATGAGGACGAGGATGACGACGAGCATCACGAAGATGAGGATGGTGATGATGGTGATGATGGTGATGATGATGATGATGACGATGAAGATGATGACGACGGTGAAGGTGATGTTGGCGCTGAGAGCGCCGGACAGCACGAATAATATGATGATGTGGTACTGGTAGTTGCATTGTGTTGCACGGCTGCTGCTGCTGCTGCTGCTGCTGCTGCTGCTGCTGCTGCTACTGCTGCTGCTGCTGCTGCTGCTGCTGCTGCTGCTGCTGCTGCTGCTGCTGCTGCTGTTGGTGCTGATGGCAATGCGACTGGTTAGAAGAGCTAATCAAGAGTCAGCATCATCATCAGCAGCATCATCATGATCAGCAGCACCATTATCACCATCGACAACAACGTCATCATCATCATCATCATCATCATCATCACCATCAGGANNATCATCATCAGCAGCAGTAGCAGCATCACGATCGTCATCCTCATGTTGTCATACCAATGGGCCAGCGTTGCGGAAGATTGACCTTCTGTAATTCACCGCCAGCACATGGCCCCGAAGCAACAGGCCGAGTGTCATTGGTACGAAAGCAGTGGGCTGTTAGTACCCCATTAGGGTTTAGGCTTTAGGCTTTAGNNAGGGTTTAGGGTTTAGGGCCTACGCATCCCCCAGGCCCAAAGCCTGACTCAGCCAGCCACCGCAAGCATGTGCACATTATCGTGGAAGCAGAACATGCTCCTCTCAACACGAAGCCAGCCTGCAGAGACAGAGGCTTCACTCGCCAAACTGCACCCTCAAACCGATCCCCAACACTAACAAGAGGTTTTGCCGAAGATGTAAACCGTCTGGAACCCTGAAAACGACGAGGTTCGTCTTCGGCCGGCAGAGCGCGCCATCCGTCATGTTATTGCACGGGGCTGAGTACGATTTTGCTCGTCGTGGCTGCTGGTGGGGTGATGACGATGATGGTGATGCATTGAATGATGTGTTTCGGCTGATGATGCTGGGGAAGGGAGCGAGATGCTGATGTTCAAGACAGAACACAAAAACGATGGTTACAGTGTTGATGTTGACATTGTGTTGTTGTTTGTTGTTGTTGTT